ATAAATTAATTGAGTTTTGTAGTGTAGGGCTATACAAGCAAATGTACGCTTTTAATTAATTTAACAATATTTTGACGCTTCCACTATTGCTAAGTGTTTGGCCGGGCTTCTCCTCCAATTTTGAATGTACCTCCTAATGTTATAACACAAGGGGTGGGCCTACCGTTTTACACCACCATCGAAAGAAAATTTTTTTGAAGTGAAACTTCGTTACCGGCGGGTGGTTGGTTGGGAGTAAATCGGCAAATTCATCGGAAATCGCACACGAAAATAGTTGGAGGTGGCTGAAACAAGTGCTTCTTGAGTGTATGCAAATGGTATTAGTTTAACAAAAACTTTCTAATAAAAGGTAAAAGAATAACTATTAGAAAAAGACTAATACAAGAATTAAAGTAAAGGTGAGTACGTACATAGATAAAGGATAAAGGCAAAGGTAAAAATTAAAACAAAAACATAGATGCGTAAATATAAAGGCAAAAGTGGAGACCAATGTAACTTTAAACACTTTATTTGTATAACGGTAAAGGTAATAGGGTAAGGAAATATGTATATGAAGAAAATAATAAACATAACAGTAAAAACAAAGATAAATATAGAGAAAAAGATTAGGATGAGGATACTGATACATGTAACGATGAAGATAGAGGAGGAAAGATTAAAATAAAAGTAATTATAGAGAAAAGGATATAGATAGAGACACAGAGCCTCACTCTTGGAACTATTTTGGAATTTTAGAGATTTTCGGAGTTCTCGGGACTTATCGATATAATAATCCATATTTGTATCGGTTTTGTTATCGATTTTATTATCGATTTTGTTAGGATTACTCATTGATATCTTTATAGACATTTTTATCGATTTTCTAATTAACGTTTTTATCGAGTATTTATCGATTTTGCTACCAATAGTATTATCATTTTGGTATCGAAATTTTCGTCGAAGTGTATTTTATTTGCTCAAGCTAAACATTTGAAAGCATGCATGCGTAGTCAACAGTAGCTGAGCGTGCAGAGGAGTGTGCCGCTATTTGTTAGCTTCCAGAAGGTGCCGGGATCGAATTCAGTCCGGCGCTGCCTAATTTTATTTTATTTATTTTGAACCATGAAAAAGTATCTGTGAAGTGCAGAAGGAAAGCGTATTGAACGAAAAATTCAATCAGACAAATTTTAGAAAAAACAGCCGAAAACGTATCCTTTTCACCTCCGTTTTCGGTACTTTTCTGTACATACGTTTCTGTCGCACACTTTAGTGGAAAACGGATCATTAAAGTATCCGGAAATGGAATCGGTAAACGGTCGAAAATCCGGTTTTCATCGACTTTTTCCGTTTCCGGATCGGGTTTCAGATTTTTGCAGGCTGGGTACGCATGCCAAGCTTGCATAGCGGTGAAAACACACATACATACATAGAACATGTATATACTACATACATACCTACATGTATTTATACTGAGCCACATTTTCAGTTTATTTATAAAAAGCCAACCCATAGAGCGGTCTAACCATGATCAACAGTAAAGAGCCTAATGCATTTGAAAAAAATACTAAGAAAACACAAGTACACAACTCAGAGAGTATATTATTATTATTAGTAATATAGCACATATTTGTATTGTAATATTTGTTTTCAAAAAATTAAAAGTAATGAAAGTCTTCTGATGTCTTTTTCTTATATAGGTAAACTTGTCGTCAGCTGATTAAGTTAAGTGACATTTTGACCAGTTTTGGACTTTTCCTTTCGCTTATATAATGTTTATAATCATTTTACAAAACCCTAACATATGACATAACCAGCACAAAATAAATCTGCATTTCAAACTTCGTACAAAAATTATATATATAAAAATTTAAGGGCGCTAGAAAATCGCGCTGATTTTTAATATTTTCTTTTTTGCCTAGCGCCGGCAAAAAAAAAACATTGTTAAAAGTCAACGCGATTTTCTACCGTCCTGAAATTTGCTCCTTGACCTACAAAAATTTAATAGGCTATAAAACTGCGTACGTAGAATTGTACTAAAAATTCTGAATAAAGAGTTTGAAATTTGTGAGTGTAATTGTTAAAAGTTGTTAAATTTACTTTTATTTTCTTTTGTCTTGTTACTCAGGTGTACGTGGCGAATGAGTAACTTTCCTTCCTGCTCATTTTCCATACAAAAAATCTTT